TGATTACGAGATGAAATGGGTATCACTAAATAATATGTCCGTTAACCTAATCTCCAAGTTGTATATACAAAACAAAACTTTCAATGAAAAATATCGCTGAACAAAATTGTCTGCTAAGGTCACTATAATAAAGAAAAGCAGTCAGACACTTAAATTATCTTCATATATATAAATAATGATAATAATAATAATAATGATTATTATTATTATTATTATTATTATTATTGTTGATAGTAATAATGTGTTAAGGCATGTTTTGTGCAATCACTTAAAATATGGTGTAATTCATAATCATAATTTACACTTGAAAACATGTGATAACAAGTTTGTTTCTTTTTGAAAAATATAAATTTATTGTCCATGTGAATTAGACGTCAGGTTTTTCATTGAAATTTCATTATCATACAGAAAAATATCCATTATAGTCACCTAAATTTTAAGATACTCATAGCTGTTCTTAATTCCAAATCATGATAATAGCTAACTTCAAAGTATGCCATTCTTTTCATAGAACACTCAAAATAATTTACTTGGAAAGAAATAATATTCTGTAAAATTTACATTAACTTTTTAAAAATGAATACGGTGAAATTTGACCTCACTCAAATTTTTATTAAAACAAACAATAGTTATTTCAGAAGGGGTTTTGTGGAGATTTTATAAATTTCACTGGTTGAAATTATCAGTGGCGGTCTAGTTTCAGGTGACTCATGATTTCAACCAGTGAAATAGTTATTTCATCAATAACCAGGGTGAGCACAATGAAGACAAAGAATAACGGTATAACATAGCAATTATTTATAAATTAGTTATAACATGCCGATTTCCTTCACTACAACCTATCGAGTCATATAAAAAAGAGTAAATTGATAAACAAATAAAAGTAAATGAGTCTTTTTTGTGCCATTATACAGATATATGAATAAACCTCAATTGCAAACATTCAAACGATTAGTATATTTTGCAACGTGGCTCAGTTATGTCAGAACAACTAAAAAGGAAGTATTGATTTCAGGTGCAGTATTCTAGACAAAGTTGATAAGTCAAATGACAGACCTGTGAACCTTCAATAAGTAAATCATCCTAGGGTTACGTATTACGTTTGTCATAAAGCAATTGAATATGACTTGTGGAGTAGGCTGAAGTGGGATTTAATTGGGAATGTTCATATCAAGACACTCCACTGGTCCATGACATAAATGGACTTTTCTATAAGCTGTTCAAGAGAGTAAAACATAAGAATGTTTTAACATTAAATTATGCACATGTATTTCTTCCTGTTTCTTCCTCTTCTTTTCGTTTGTTCTTCATTTTTAACTTGTGTATTTCTTGTTAATTTTGACAAAATTCCATACACTTATGATTTGTTTTCTCTGTTGCAACATGGAACTTATATGCTTCTGTTATGCACAATGATAGTAATCATAAAAACCAATCTAGTGAATAAAATTTAATTCAATAATTTGTAATGTGTGGAAAATGAGAAATTATCTTATTTTCATGATTTTTATTGTACAGATTTTGTGAGAATTTATTATTAAATTATAATAAATGATGAAATGCACACACTAACCCATTTAGGTTAACATTTGTTCATCATTTAAATGTATTTCTATGTTTCGTTAAAAAGTAAACGAAAAAAAACAACTAAATAGAATAGTTATTAAATGAAAATATTAGCAAAACGCTCCAATTTGTAATCTTTCATGTGGTTACTGTTGTCTCAATTTAAACTGATGTAACCAAATTTTCTAGTTGGGAATTGTGATTACCAGAGTTAATACTATAATCGCGAAAACTCTTATGTGTCAAGGTAAGGAAGATAACATGGATTACAAATGTAGGTCAACTATATACCAAAAAAATAAACCAAAACTATATTCAAATACTCTGAGCTTTATCATGTTTAGCTTTTATTGAACAATAGTCGAATTTGAATAAATTACACTGAGTAATACTAAACATCAGTGAATCAGTAATATCACTTATGAACACTTGTCATCAACAGATGTTACTAGTTTTCCGAATTAAATGATTTATCCGTCTTAACGATTTTCTCTTTTTAACTGGATACGCATGAGTAAGTTTTCGGTAAGGTGTGGAGTTGAAAATTAGTCGTTCTATTTTGTAACCCTTAGGATCATATCAACCGATTATGAGGTCACGACTGAGGTCTATGAAAGGTTTCTATTTTATTTTCTAATGGACCTTCAGTCTACATTGCTTGCCTCTCGTAGGTATGGTTTTAAAGTGAAACTGGTATGCGTCATTGAACATAGTATAATAATTGTACTACACAACAACCTGGTCGAAATTTGATCGTTAGATCACAAATGCCTGTAGTATAATGACTTTTCATTTGTCAGTTTGCATACAAGTAGCACATGTTGGAGCCTCCTGTCACAATGCTCAGAAGCACAGCAGTTTAGTATCAGTAAAACCTACGTTTTTGTCAACACTTATTGGTTTAAAGTGGAAACAATTAATAAGTCTGATAAATCAATCAGTTTATTGTAGTAAGCGGTTATCACGCCTTAGAATTTTGTGTTATCAATAAATTATAGTTTTGCTGATGTTTTAGTCAAATTGCATTATGATTATCAGATTATATGAAACACTAAATTTACTGATTGGATTATGTCTATCAAGTTGTTAGGTGGCAACTTCTCAGATTGTACAGCAAGGTGATCTGGGTTCGGACATCAAAAGGAACATAAGTTCCTTCAAAATCCAAGGTATGACCAACTGACGAATGCAGACCAGAATAAAACTAAGGACCACGGTCACCTGCCGACTATCTTCAACCACTTTATATTTCAACATATTACACAATGCCAAATCACCGACTAGTGCCCACTTTCTAACTTGATCAATAGAATTTGATCAGCACAAAAGACTAAATAAGCATAATGTTGGTTACCAGTCGGTACTTATATATATAAATATATAATTTATCAATATATGCCTCGTAGTAACTTAGCTTGGTGATAATACTTTACACACAATCCCGAGAACATTGAAAACTAGACACATCATTGATTGTTAGTTAATGACCGATTAATATAAGTGATATGCGCACACTCATAAAACTACTACCCATTGATAAATAATATTAACTAAATAAAACCGTATGCTTAAAAAAATTCCTAATCACTAAAAGGCGACAATATGAAACAGGAGTAAAGTAACTTTGCTAAGAATCAGGGCAAACGGTTATTACAAGCAGAGGTGAATAGTGGCTAGCAGTAAAATCCAGGATGAACGTTTGTCTTTATTAATAAATTAACAACAACGTCATATCGAATAATGAAATTAAGTTTTAAAAAAATGTGTCATATTTTCATTTTATTTCAATAATTTCAATCATGTCTGAAATAGCTTGGTAAAAATATAATGACAAACTAATTTAATTATTTTGAAAAAAAAACAATGCCATTTCTAAGTTCACTTTTAATCAAATACAGATGTTTGCTTTTCGTCTAGTCTTAATCTTAAAGGAAATAGATTTTTTCAAATACAAAATTAGTTTGATTGACGACATGATTTTTGGTTTATTATACATGGATCAAGAGAAAACGGGGTTACATTAATTTTTAAATCTATCCTAGATGATGATTATTAAATCCTCCATTTCCCTTAATTAGCGTCGTTTTCCCCGAAAGTCTAATATGACTTGAGTTGGCCAGATGGTAAAATTCAAATCAGCCCCCTGTTGGACAAATAAATCAGCCCATGCCTGTGTTGTATATTATGATGTGTAAAGGGGTGGATTTCGATTAAATACGTTTAACCAATCGATCATAGGCATAATATGTTTAAGTTGTTTTTGGCCTAACCAACAAGCATTGTTAGACAGCTAACAAACAACCAAACAAATAAACAAACTAACTAGTTAGTATGTATAGATATATATAAATAGATAGATAGACAGGCCAGATTCTATATACTGACCTAAAGCAAAAATCTAAAGCGCTCGGTATGAATAATAACGACCCCTAACAAACCATGCTTATTTTAACAGATTTGCACACAAATTTTTGATTTGTTTGCTTTAGTGGATAAAGGAAATAATACCAGCAATCACTATAAAAGTTAGTTGAGTTCAATGTTTGGTATTATTTTTTGTTTTATTTTTCTGGAATTACCTTAAAAACAAATTTTCCACAATGAAATAAATTTAATATTCATATTGAAATTTTTCTTACAAATTTCTCTTCATCATAAATGATGATAATTAAATCTGTTTAAAATCTTATTCTAAACACGTTCACAATAATTTTTTTCTTTACTTTGGTTTATAGTGTTACTATTCCAATGTGCTCATTGAAATAATTGGACTATCTATTTTGGTATTACAAGTATAAACAAGTGTTACATTAATACAAACACACACACATTCACATACACACGCATATTAACAAATTAATAGTGTGCACACAGACACACCCGCATTAATATACACGAACACATTTAAAACATTTGGATAATAAGTATGTTAATATATCATTGCGGTGTAACAATCTATCGTATCAACATCTTATCTAACATATATATATACAACATACACAGGACTTAGAAAATCATATAAATGTACATACAGTAAAAATACATACAAATGTATTTCTATAAATATGTTAAATATAAATCCATATATCGATTTTAGAATCATATCACAATGTGTAAAGTTTGTAGGTACATAAGTAGTTATGATTTTTTGTACGTGTAACATATATGATTACTATTGTGTTGAAATAATAAATAGTGACCAACTATATTAGAATTGTCTTAGACTAAGTTTATTTTAGCATTTCTTATTCTATTAAATAATATAATTGTTGAGAGAAAAAAAATTGTATAAATTTATGTGAAATATATCCTTTGATTCAATTCAAACAAAATAACAGTGGATATATACATGTGTGTAATTATTTACGTATCAAATATTATATCATTAAAACAAATTATTATTATTATTATTAAAAAAATATATTCAAAGCCAAATGTTCATTAAAAGTAAATTGACTGGATGTAAAATTGAATTAATCGATTGTTTTGGTGAACATCAATCACAATTATTTTATAATCGGATACGAATACATAATCCATGTTGGAATAAATATGGTAAATCACAATTTGATGTAAAATTAGGTTATACAATACCATTAGATTTAAGTAATGATAAAAAAATACCAATTCTATGTACACCTATACATTTCTTTCAACGTTTATATGACAAACAACAAGGTCATCATCATCATCAACAACAACAGCAGCAACAACAGAATCGAAATTCAACTAGTGGATATATTCAATCAAAACAAAGTGTTATAGATAATACAGATTCTAATGTTGTCAATCGTAATAACAAAGGAACTACTGGATTAGTCATTCAATCTATAAATGATTCTTGTAAGGAATTATCAAATTCACTGACGAATAAAATTGATACAGTGGAAAATGTATCTAATGATAATTTTATAACAAATGATGCTTTAGCTACAATACGTGTATATTTTCCTGTGAAATTAATGCAATCGGCAAATGAATTAAAAATTAGTTCAGATCTTAAAAAACGATTTCATCTTTTACCGGTAAGTTTTTATATTTTTCGATTGGGGTCATGAATTGATTAATATTAGACTACCATTGAAAACTTGGAAACATTGGATGGTCATTAAGTCTTAGTATGGGACTTCATCAGTACACATCCACGATCTTACACGCGGGCTTCGAACCTAGAACCTCAGGTCTCGCGCGCGAACTCTTAACTTAAACATATTGTAAAAATGTTTTATATCTGTAATATAATTATTCAAATGATCAGTAGTCATTCAGTTTTGTGTTATGTGTTTCAAAAAAGAAAAAAACTTTACATAAATAATCAGCATAGAAATAACTACGGTTCCATATTTTTTCGTATCTCAAATAAGTATGGATAGTCTGTTCCTTAATATTAGCTTATGCTGTTCATATATAGCCCTGTAGTCTTGATATCATGCTGTCTCTCCTATGATTGAGTTTATCCATTTGGCTATACAGAAAACAGCCTAAACATTTCACATGGACACATAAATACACGCATTTCACTTTTTTAATACCAAATTGTCTATCTTTAATTTAACACACACTAATCATGTATGCATGGATGCATATATATATATATATATATATATATATATATATATATATATATATATATATATACATATATATATATATATATATATATGATTTGGGGGGTGGTTGTGATAATGTTGGATATTAAACTTTCTTATTTAGAAGACAAAATATACAGAGACACATTTGCACAACTGTATATTCAAACTGGTTGTATGTATTAATAGGCAAACGTATAAACCATCTTTAGTCATAAATTCTTTGTCTATAAAAATGAAACTTATTCGAGTACTACTTGACCTCTTCAGAATACAATAAAATTGGAGAAATTATTTAGACATGTCGACTTCAATACCCAGTTTATTCATTATGAACTGTGAATGATATAAATTCGTTGAATGCACTGTACTAGCTAGATGTAACTTCATGGTTATTAAGTGATATATATCAGTCAGCTATAACGTAGGACCAGGCACATATATGCGTCAATCCAAGTTGCCACGCCTCATTAACACAACAAGATGAACACCAAATTCATAGTAGTTACTTCAATGATAGTAATATATAAAAGATTGTGTATAAGGATATATTACAGGAAGAAAGAATTAGTTTGTAGAAAGAAAAGTATAAGGTAATTTTAATTTTACGGTCTACGGGAAGACAAAGAGTGTATACACTGACGCTACTGTGATCGATTCCGAGCCATGTCACCAAGAGTCTCCAACCATTGGTTACTATAGTCGCGCGGGCCCCAACCAAGTAGTCTGCATCTAACAATATGGCTCAGACCAGAAGTTAGTGACTTCAAGGACTGATACCACATTTTGGTTTGGCCATCCTTAACTTCCTTCTAACCATCCCCAACACCAGTTTGTAGTGCGCGTCGTGGTAATCGGTGCTCAGACGCACGTAACACGTGGCCCGACCATCTCAGTCGATGAAGATTAACAACCTCATCAACTGATATGCCATCATTCCCTAATACCCTACGTCTAACCTTACTATTATTTACCAGGTGATCCCAGCATATACGAGCAGTATTTCTAAGACATTTGTGATCAAACACTAGGAACTTACGTGTATCTTCTACTCTTAATGTCCACCTTTCGCAGCCGTGAAGTAGAACAGGACGAACTGCCACGTCTTCAACATCAAATAGTTATGTTGTCAAATTTTCTATGGTTACCTTTCTCATCCTTATTTCATTCCTGATGTGATATAGTTTTCATAAAAAATTACTTCCAGATTTAATAATTCAGTGATCGATCACCCAATTATCAGTTAGTTACACTCATTGGCTGTGATACGAAATAGTAGGATTTACTCAACTTCTCGAGTAATCACATTGAAATGCTTGACGAATAACGGTTACTTTTACAGAGTAAAACGTTATTCAAACTTGCCTGTGTATATTGCCAATGTATATGGTGGATCTAATGTAAGTTACATATCTTATGTATACATACATCTACTTAGGAGTTCGTATTTATTCATATTCATACCCTAGAGACTCTTTGAACTACTGTAAATGTCATATTATATCACTTTTGTAGTGATTAATACGGCGACACGTCTAATTGGAATTAGATTGGAAACTTCATTTTTTTCGACTATATATAAATATATATGATCACGACGTTTTATAGTGATTCATTTTTAACAATTATTAAGAACATTCGATTAGCATAGTAACATAAAAATAATGTTGTTTATGCATTGAAACAGCTGAATATATGATCATGACTAACTAATTTATAATAATTTATAATTATTCGACTAGTTATTGAAAAGTAGTAATTATCATAATTATTAACCAATTTGGTCATTCATTAGCTGTCGTTAAAACTGTTGTCATTATTACTGTTATTAAAATTGTGTGTTTTTCCCTTGTTTTGTTTCCTTTCTTTCTAATGTTCACTTAAAGATTTTATGTAGAAAGAATCTGTCAAACATTTTTTAGATATTCAAAATACTAAACAAAACGTTAACTTTTTCAACTATTCATTTAAATAAGCGGGACAATATCTATTATCGAATACATCTATTTTATTTCAAGTATAGATACTAACTCATTAGCGTCTATTAACCCTCGTGGAGGAGTATTGGCCTCCCACCAACACTCTTCATCCAACCCTGTCCTGGGCAATCCTTTCCAGCTCTTTCCAGTTCTTATTCATCCTTTTCATATCTGCTTCTATTTCCCAACGTAATTTGTTCTTTGGCCTTCCTCTTTTCCGCATCCCTTCAGGATTCCGAGTTATTGTTTGCCTCGTGATGCAGTTTGGTGATTTCCGTAATGTATATCCCATTCACTTTCAACGTCTTTTCCTGATTTCCTCTTTAGATGGAAGCTGGTTTGTTCTCTCACACAGTAGGCCGCTTCTTATGGTATCCAGTTAACAGATATTGAGTATATTGTGTAGACAACTGTTTATAAACGCTTGCACTCTTTCGATAATGGTTGTGGCAGTTCTCTAAGTTTCAGCTCCGTATAATAGAACTGTCTCGACGTTCGTATTAAAGATCCTGACTTCGATGTTGGTTGACAATTGTTTTGAGTTCCATATGTTCTTCAAGTGTAGGAATGCTGTCCTTGCTTTGCTGATCCGTGCCCTTACATCTGTATCAGATCCTCCTTGTTCATCAAGGATGCTGCTGGCCAGGTATGTGAAAGTTTCCACCTTTTCCAAGCTTCATCATCAAGTGTGATTGGGTTGGTGTTCTCCGTGTTGTATTTGAGGATCTTGCTTTTTCCTTTGTGTATATTGAGGCCTACTGATGCAAATGCTGCTACAGTAGTCACCTTCGTCTGTATTTGTTCCTGTGTATGGGATAGTATGGCCAGGTCATCTATGAAGTCCGGATCTTCTAATTGATTCCGAGCTGTTCATTGTATTCAGTGCTGTCCCTCAAATGTCAAGGTCTTCAAAATCCATAACGTTGATCGACCGGAAATTTCAGCTGTGAAAATTCTACAATTTCCACATATTCCTCTTACTGATAAAGTTAAAAGTGCTTATTTCAAGCTTATACAGCAAACATAATAGTATTTATCGTCCGAATAAAAAGTTTAACATAGCTAATGTAAACCTATTTGATTGTTGAATAGTTTTTGTGATAAACAAAAGGGAGAGCTATTGAGGAAATAATCCTCGATCACAGTCAATACATATCCTGATTAAATGAATTTTTTGTGTGTAGTTTTCCTTGATTAAAAAAATGCGATATTGGCCAAGTTTAATCAAATCAAATTAATTACTGAATGTCATGCGGAGTTAGTAAACAATTTTTCTTTGATCTGTGTTACTATTGAATTAGGAAGTTTATTCGTGTTTTTGTGTGATCATAACTAAGCAATCGATGGTCTGAGTTAATGTTAAATGAATGATTGATAATTACTCATGAAAATCAGATTATTGGTTTAAATTCCTCAAATGAAAGGATATAAAAAAGCCTGAACAGAATTAATTCTTAATGTATCGATCAGCATTTAGTTTTTGCAATATCTGATTCTGTTAACTATGAATCCTACTGTTATTTAGATTTGTTTAACTACGGACTATGTATCTGTAACGCGTAAAGCGAAGGTATACATATTTTCAATCATGATATTATTTTATGTAAATAAGTGAATAAGTCTCTCTCCCCATATAAGAAAAAGAGATGGACAAATTGGACGTAATTTCATCGCAAACCAGTCAGCTGACTCAGTAAAGTTCCTGAGTCCGACCTTGTTAAGTAGTGCCATCTCCAATTTTCTTGTGTATTCCTATCCTCATCGTAAATCGAAGACGTTAAGTCTGGGACTGACGCACAAATGGAAATTTTAACAAATCGGATACATCATAATTAAGACAATCTCCATGATTCAGTTCATCAAAATAGTATTATTATTATTGTTACCATTATTATTATTACTTTTCGAAATAGTCAAAATGATGATAACGTTGATGTGAAGGCTTGTACAACCAGATTAAATGTAAAAATGGTGACAACAATTAAATTGACGAATTAATAAACAGAGATCATGTCGAATCATTTTTAGTATATTCCTCTTCCCTCTCTGTGTTTGTATGTGTGTTTATTTATAGTTCATTATATGTGTATATTTATTTTGTGTGTGTATGTGACTATTGGGAAATCAACAAAAACACCCTAGTGATTTACGCATGAATGATACTTATCTAGATAAATGACTAATTATAAGAACGAGTGTAGAAATGCAGAAAAATATAGGGGGAAATAATTTGTAAGAAAAGAGAACTAAATTTGTATGAATGGTTGTATGAAATAGACTTAAAAGTGAATATTAATTAGTAAATAATGATAGTGTTGATGAGGATGATATTGGTAAGTTGATACTAGTTTATAAATTACCATATATTGTTAACTATGAATATCATACTTAACATTCACTTAGCTCCTTTTGTGAAATTATTCTCTTCTCTACCATATTCTATTTGAAATCCGTTTC